AAGATGTGTATTTTCTATTGATTTGATCTTGATTTGTTTTTGATCTCTTGCAACCTCTAATCTCTACATATTGGATGTAATCTCACTACAATCAATAGAAAATACACATCTTTCTCTTCTCTACTCTATGCATTCTCTCCTAGTTTTAGCATGGTATCAGAGCCATGGTTTTTCACCACTGTTGTTCTGATTATATATTTTTCTTTTCTTTTCTTCAGTCATGTCTTCTTCTCTCCGGACTATTCTCCGGGCACGAAAAAAAAAATGGTTCTTAGATGGTTAAATTCCTCCTCCAACAGATGGGTCCTTGGATGATTAAATACAATTTATCAAGTCCTTTGGTCCTCTGTCCTTCTGTCTTTCAGTCCTTTGGTACTTTGTATATTAAATACAATGATCAAGTCCTTTGGTCCTCTGTCCTTTCGTCCTTTGGATATTAAATACAATTGATCAAGTCCTTTGTCCTCAGTCCTTCATTCCTTTGGATATTAAATACAATTGATCAAGTCATTTGTCCTATGTCCTTCAGTCCTTCAATCTTTCGGTCCTTCGGTCCTTTAGATATTAAATACAATTGATCAAGTTCTTCGGTTCTTTGTTCCTTTAGTCCTCTGTCCTTAAGTCCTTCAATCCTTCGGTCCAATTATCGCTCCTGATTATGTTTCTATTAAAGCTCAGCTAGCAGACATCTTCACCAAAGCATTGGGTGGCCAGGATTTCTCGAAATTTCCAAGCAAGTTGGACATTCGATATCTTCATGCACCAACGTGAGGGGGGGTGTTAAGATAGGCTTTAGTTATTTTAGTAAGATATCTTTGGTTTGATATAATCTTGATTTGGTAGTAGTTATTTTGGTAATTAGATATTTGATTTGATTTGATCTTGATTTGTTTTTTATCTCTTGCAACCTCTATATATTGGATGTAATCTCACTATTACAATCAATAGAAAATACACATCTTTCTCTTCTCTACACTTATGCATTCTCTCCTAGTTTTAGCACACTAAAATTGACTTTTTTCCCAAAATGTATGATATATTGGCTGACATCAAATTGAGTACATTAATTTGTAAAGAAATTACAAAAAAGATACACTAGTCGTGAGGGGTTAGGATAATTTTGTTGTTCCCTTTTCAACCAAATTCTCATCATTTAATTCTTAAGAGCATCTCCAATGTTATAACTTTGAAAGACAATAATTTTTAACACATGTCAATCAATGATTGTAATGTTAACCCATGTAGGAATAATGTTAAAAGAGTAAAAATTTGAATCAAATTAGTATCTCCAATGCATCAATTTGATAAGAAGTTATATGTATAGGTGGACCAATTAAAATAATCATTAATACAAGAACAATAAAAAATTAAATCAAATATAAAGTGAATTGATTAGTCATCATGTTTAACATGGTGTTAGATATTAGAAAGTGTGTTCAACATTGTCAACATTAAATGTTATCCACCTCATCATGAAAGAGTTTATGACAAGATGCATTGGAGAATAAATTTGTAACAATTCGAGGGGTTGTTAAGCTTTACTGAGGAATCGACCACTTGGGAATACTTTCAAAAGTTGATGATATGGATGAATTTTTATAATGTCAAAAGTCACATTGGAGATGCTCTAAGTTCTCTATCTGATTTCATTTTGGCGTCGTCCAACACTTGTTAGGAAAATTTGTTTGCCTACTCAATTTTTTCATCTAAATTAATTTGGACACAAATTCGTTGTTCTCTATTGTGGACCATATTGGTGCTTTCCGGCGTAAATTTCAATGAAATTGCTCAATTTTAGATTTGTCTAATCAAAACGATCGTAGCCACAAACTTATAGCTCGACTGGATCATTTGCCCGCTCAGTTTTTCGTCCAATATAATTCGAAATGTTCTATGTTCGGCATAATTCCATAGTCGTCTGACACCTGTTTTAAATGTGTAATCTACTGTTAGATACTTCTCGGGGAGACGATCATACAAACAAAATTTGAATCCAATTGAACTTTGTTATGTTCATTCAATTTTTTGTTCCGAGTTATATGTACAGTCAATTTTAGCCCGTGAGTAGCCGTGATAAGCCCCTGGTAAATTTAATCTAGCCTTTGTCCTGCACCTCGAGAGTAGTTTACAATTTTTAATGTTTTTGACAAATTATTGTACCAAATTTAATGTTTGTTAATATTCTTTTTTTTTTTTTTGTAAAGAGACTAACCATTGTCAGTGTTTTTTTTACCATTAGATACACTTCTGGATTAGTGTAGTATAGATAATTTACGGTTAAAAACACTAATGGAATGGTTCGTAACGAAAATGTAGTCATTCCCACTAATATAATAGATCGAAAATAACATTTCGCTATGCTCCCAAAAAATGCCACGCACTGAATGATGCAAATTTTGACTTAGTGCTCGTGATATTATTTGTTTTTACACTATAAAGAAAATAGTTTTATTGCAAAGAAAAATCATACGGAAATATATTCCAGTGGAAATTTTAATAGCATAATTCCGTTAGAATCATTCCAACGAAAATATTCTGTTGGATCTATTAGAATTCTTTAGGGAATTCCATGATTCAAACGACTATTCTTTCAACGATTTTTTATCGTAGAAATTTTCGTTGAAATATGCAATTTCTGTTGGAATTTTTATTTACACCCACATTTCAACCGTTGAAAAATATACAGTTGGAATAGTTAAAATCTTCGAAAATTCCTGAAAAACTTATTCCTACGGAATATTTTTGTTGGAATTTCCATTGAACTTCATTGAAAAATTCCAATGAAAATAATAGCAATATTGGAATATATTTCTGTTGAAGTTTTTTGTTAGAATTTCATCATTTTCTCATAGTGATTTAGCTT